GGAACGCGGTGTGTGAAGCCAGACACCAGGACACAATTTCTGGTCATCATTGCGACCTGATGCCTGGAATTTATCACACCCTGCACTAAGAGTTTGTTTTGGTTTTCCAACAAGACTGTAGACCCTCCCAAATTCATATTAAGAGTGGTAGATTTATCATTAACTGCTCACAGGGTGAGTTAATGAAGCATGTTACATTGACAACTTGAAACTGCTTTTCATTTTACTTTTTTACCTATTTTGGTATTATGCATCCTATAGTCCTTAGCTCATTGTCTTTGATTTGACCTTTATAACAATAGTAACAGTTATTTAATTGTGTTATGATCTTGGTTAGCACAGCTGACTCCAAAGGCCATAATGTATTGTAGTTTTCTGTTGCTATTAGAACATCAGTAATACACCAAAGAACTAACACAGAGATTCCAACACTGAAAAAGCCAACCCAACAGTATACAATTTTTCTAATGTATAGAAAGGATATTTTCATAAAGCCATTTTGTCTCCTAGTCTCCTACTTTTCATAGGGTTGAGTCATCTGATGTATCCTCAGAATATTTGTTGACTGAGCAGATAAGAGATATTTGGCAATATTGTTAATGATTGCATTAAAACTCCTCCAACAAGAGGATGCCCATGAATGCTAACAAGATTAGTGTGCTGCATGGACAATTAGTTCTGGAATTGTGGTGATACAAGCAGATGCTATTTCATGCTGGTGATACATTCCCACTGATCTCCAGTTTTTGCGACTGCTGTACAGTTTCATGTGACCCAAACTTTTAAGTATATGGTAACTCAATCAGTTAAATCTTGTGTAACATGTTAATATAATTTAAAAATAATTTTCTGTGTTTAAATTCTCAGTTTTCATAAAAATGTATGGTGATCCTGCCATGAGCATCCTTGCCTAGGCACTTCCTTTATTAGGGTGGCAACACTCAGTCTGAGTCTCCCAGTTTTTCCTCTGTGTTGACACACTTTCTTCCAATTTGAACTATAAGGAGACCAGTTGATTCACTTTACATTGTCTTTTCTACTTTTGTTACCATCAGAAATCCATCCCTAAGAAATCACATGTATCACTTGCTGGAATGCATGTATTTAGAATGAAAGTGAATTACAACGGGGTTGCAGGAGGTCACCTGTGGATGAAGAAAAAAAGTGAAAACAGGAGTTTATTAGAACATGGCAGTTGTTTGATACATGGTGCTTTAGCAAACTAATAATGATGTAAAAAGCCTAACTTATGGATAACAGTTCAGCTTTAATTTGCAAATTTAGAATGTACTTATTGATCTGTTACTGCCATAATGTTGCTTATATAGCATTTTTGGTCTGCAGAGTCTGAAGAAGATCCAAGAAATGGACAAGGATGCACCTGACCGATGTAGCCCTGACCTTGAAGATTTGAAGAATTCAGACTGGGTAAGATACCAAATAACCTTTCCTTTTAGATGTTTCTTACGAGAATGTTTTGTGGCAGCCTGCAAGAATTTCTGAACAAGTTCATGGTGAGTCTGTTCTCATAGAAATGCTTAGAACAGCTTCTCATCAGAAGTGCGTTGAATAATAATGCTGGCCCACATTCAGCCTGGAAACAGGGTGATATCTACAATAGAGGATTTTCTGCAGGGGACAGCAATGCCCTGAAGGTGAGGATTGCAAACCTAGCTTTTTTTCCAAGTCCTGGGAAAATAAGTTTTATTTCATATTAATAGCTTAAGTTCTGCTTTATTGTCAAAAAGAGCAATTGATGATAAGAACCGTTGTCTTGCAACCCTGCTATATTCATCTATTCACGTGCTGCAAAGTTGGCAAAACTGTATTCATCTACAGGATCGTTTTCAGAGGAAGATTGAGTCCTTTTTACAATCAATATATTGATATCTCTACCCTGCCAGAATCACTTGTCCATCCTTGCAGATAATTACCAGAACATTTCCAAGCTACGAAATCTGGCCAGACTGCTCAACCAGCCTGCCACTCCTTTAAGGGCTCATGTACATGGGACATTTGGAAAAATCTTCTTAACGATGGAAACTGCTGGAAAACTTAGTTTAAAAAACGTCAGTTTAGCTGCATTTGCATACTGCGTTTATGCGCATTTTTAAAAGATAACCTCAGGAGACCTTCCCAAATCCCCAAAATGCAGTGAAAAACAGTAAATAATTAACTATTTCAGACATTTTGAAAGGAATAGAGAGAGCAGAGAGATCAGTATATGTTGAGATTACCTATCTTTTCTGGTTGTATTCACTATGGATCACATAATGCAGCACGTTCTACCATTTTTTCCTTCACGCGAAACCTGGAACTAACTGCACTGGTGTACTAGGTCCGTTTGAATACATGGAAAACGCTTTGCATGCATTTCTGGTGATGAAAAAAAGGCTCTGGACAGCATCTGGACATGAAACCGTTAAAAAAAAAAAAAAACGCTTCTAAACGCAACTGCTTATAAACCTGGTTAACAAGGTTTACAAGCATTTGGCGTTTTGAAACGCCAGTAAAATCTACTGCTGAACGCAAGTTTGGTGCGTTCAAAAAACGACTGTAAACTCAACTGCCTGTAAACGACATAGTGTACATGGACACATAGGAAAACATTAGGGAGAGTTCAGGGGCTGCTGAAAAAAACACTGAACAGCTCCTGAACATCAGTTTATCAGCTGCAGTGTACATGAGTCCTTACTATATGACCCCATCAGATCAGAACACATCAGTACTGACTATTAAAGGATAAGTTCACCTTTCGCAACATATTACACCCATATTCAGGGTGTAATATGTTACGGAAGGTCCAGCCCCTGCTCCACCCTGATCCCCCATTTTGACAGCTAGGGGTGGAATTTTCTCCCCTGCTAGCTGTCACAATTTTTTTTTTTCTATGTGGCTGTGCAGGGCTCTGCCCACCCAGCTGCGTCACTCATTCATGGTATTTTGTGAATGGGAAAACTACAAGTCCCGATAGCCATTGTGGCTGTCGGCTTATAGTTCTCCATGAACTACCACAATGCTGTTGAGTTCTATGGTAGTTCATTGATTCTTCCTGTTAAAGTGCATCTGCTTGCCCGTACGAGGTACAATAAACAGATACACTGACAGGTCTGCAGGATTCATGCATGGCACCATTGTGCTGATCCTGGAGCAATGCTTTATTGGCTCCCAAAACAAAGTACTAAATGCTAATTTTTTTACCTGCAAAAAAATGTGAATTTTAATATTTTTTTTATTAAAAGGTGAACTTATCCTTTAAGTGTTTTACGAGCAATAGTCCCTAAAAAGAGACATATTCAGTTTTTCCCTTTAGGCCCATTCACACCACAGAAATTCTGTCCAGATGCGGTCCGGTGTGTTTTTTGATATGTTCAGTTGCATTTTTTCACCTCTTTTTTTTATTCCCCTTCACCTTAAATGAAAACGTGCCTTCTGGTGGGTTTTTGGTGCTTTCCGGTGCATTTTTTATGCGTTTTGCTGTGTTCCAGTACTGTTCAGTGCAGAAAAAATAGAGCATGTTGGTTTTTTTTTTTCTTTTTTCTTCTGCCACTGGAACACACTCAAACTAACTGTACTGGTGTGAACTATGTCATTGGAAACCATATAACTATGTGTTTTTGATGCAGAAAAAAAAAACTCACTGGACTGTGTGTGATTTGAACCGGCCTTTAAAGTTAGGAGCAGATGGAAATTATTTTAAATCCTATCATTAATTTTGTTTTTAGCATGCCTGCACTAAAGCTTTTATAAAAACCCATTGTAATAGAAAAGATAAAAGAAAAGCCTTGTTTCTTTTAGTGTTAAAATTAAATCATATATTCATTTCCATATTGTTTTTCAACTAGCCTTCTGTTAATCTCAATGATCTAAAAGTTTGTAAACTTTGTGAAGATCGCAATACGTTTACTTCATTGAAATCTGTGAAATGTATTCACCTTGCCCTGCTGTGTCACAGAACCCCCAGAGCCTGCCTGCTTCTGAACTACAGAGGTGATGAGAGGAGGAGTTTCAGGAGGCGGAGTCAGTATGGTACGGGTGTCAAACTGGCAGCCCTCCAGCTGTTACCAAACTACAAGTCCCATGAGGCATTGCAAGATTGAGAGTTACAAGCTTGACTCCCAAAGCCAGAGGTATGATGAGACTTGTAGTTTTGCAACAGCTGGAGGGTCACCGTTTTGACACCCCTGCAGTACAGGAATCACTGATTGCAAGCAGCAAGGTACCATGGGATATGTAGTCTTTAGAAATTGAAAGTAAACAAGAGAAGCAAAGCATGCAGGGAATCCAGGAAGTTGTGGAAACGGATATCCAGCAGACGAGCATCTTTCGCAACACGAAAGCAGATTTTTCCAGTGAGCTTATATTGGATTGTCAAAAATAGCAATTTGATTTACTATTGCTGATGTTATAAAAGTGTATGTTATGACCATAGAGCACCTTGAAATAAACAGCAAAGTGTCCTTCGCAACATTCAAACTTTAATGAAGTAGAGAAGTTATAGTGACAATGTACCAAGTCTCCCACCACAATTCTACATTACAAAGTAAAATGACCTGTTGCCTGCTAGTCTTTGTACAATTCTTTTTGCATTTTTTTTAATAAGCTGGACTGTGTGTTTGTTATATTTAAACTTGTTCCTAAAATGCTTTAATAATTTGTCAATTGGTTGTATCCCAATATCTTTTCAGGCCAGGTTCTGGGTTCAGGTTATGCGCGATCTGCGTAATGGTGTCAAGTTGAAGAAAGTGCAGGAACGCCAGTACAACATGTTACCCATCGAATTTGAGCTGACCCCATATGAGATGCTGATGGACGACATACGTTCTAAACGTTACACCCTAAGAAAGGTTATGGTGAGTCAGATGTGCTGACTTATAAATCATCTGATTATTGCAGCAGTAGTGGTGGCTTACATGTTACTATTAAAATGTTACAACGCTGATAATGAATTTACTTGTCATACTCTATTCTGAGATTCTATTTCTGTCCCCTTTTAGGTTCAGGGTGACATCCCTCCTCGATTAAAGAAGAGTGCCCATGAAATAATCCTGGATTTTATACGCTCCAGACCTCCATTAAATCCTGTATGTAGTCCTGCTCTGTAGTAATCGTGTATCCTTTGCTTTTAGTTCATCTGCCTTGATGAATTAAATACTTGCAAATTCCATGGTAGCAGGCCTGGCAAATGATATTTGTGCCCAGGCTCTTACTATAAAAGCAGATTATTCATCTGAACAGCTGCTGCTAAGTTCCCGGTAATGGTAATGAGGTCAAATGTGTTTTCAAAATAACTTTGCAATGTTAAAGCAGTATTTTACCAAAAGCAAAAACGTATTATATTGCAGTTTACCAATAGATGTGGTTACTGCCTTGTTTTTCTTTTTCTTTTTTAGTTTTGTTTTCTTTTTATTTTCACCTCATATTAAAGTTTAAGTGCAGTCATAATAAACAAAACACAGAAAATAGCTCAAGGGGCGGGCATAATTTAGTCAGCAGGATGTGTCCCTAATGCCTCTTGTTAGGTAAAATCCTCCTCCATTGTTGCCACCCATTCCCCCCACTTCCCATGGTCCTAATCTGTCTTGAGTGCGGTAGGGGTTAATTGAACTGTGGAGCTGTCATAGGCTTCAGTCAAGAGTGCTCAAATATACCTGCCCTTTCTGTCCAGCTGCTCAATTCATAGAAGCTGGCACTAAGCTATCTATAACTGAAATACAATCTTTGAATGGAGAACGGTTGGATGACTGAAAGGTCTTCCACTGCATTAATGGACCGCTTTTCATCAATGGAAGCTGTAGTAGCAGGTAAGGGGTTTCATCAATGGAGAAGGATTTCATCGAGCAGAAGAGGCATCAGCAGTAGGGACACAGCATTCTGACTCTAAGTTATGTCCCTTGTGCTGATTTTTGTGCTTTTTATTTTGACTGCGTGTAGGCCTTAAATATTGGTTTTAGTTTTAATACCACTTTTAAAAAATACAGTATTCTTTTTGTACCTATGTCTGTACTTTTATTTACTTTCTGTTCTAATTTTTTAAAATTGTATCACAGGTAAATCATAGGACCCTTTCACACAGCCATTCCGATCAAGTCCGCCTGTCCGTTTTTCTGGCAGACCTGTTTGGAAGGTTGATTCACCCCTATGGACAGGCGGGTGTAAACGGACTTGTGTCCTTTTACATCCACCTTCCTCTGATTCCAACCGCTAGAAAAACAAAGGCTAGACAGAATGGATCTGAGGGTCGTCCGGTGTAAACGGACAGCGGCGTCCATTTAGGCTAGCTTCACATCTATGCAGGTTGCGGTAATTGCATTTTTGCATTTTTTTATGTGTTTTTGCTTATTTTTTTTTCTTGGCCAGTAGGAAAGTCACCTAAAAGTGTCATACTTTTCTATAAACCAAAACAAAAAAAAACAGCAAAACACATCAAAAATACAACACTTGCATTTTTGGTGCAGTTTCATTAGTTTATTACACGCAAAACACAATCACAAAAGTCCCTGACCCTTTCCAAAAAACACACCGGCTCTAAGCGTTTAGTTGAGAACTAGATCCATAGGAAACCATGTTAAATGGACTTTAGTGCTTTTCTTCAAACCGGAAAATACCCTGAAAAACGCACAAGTGTGAACCTAGGCTTACTCCTGGCCGCCCATAGAGCAGAGTGGGCAAAGGACACATCCATGTCTGCTCAGTTTCTGCAGAGCGGACATGGATTTGTCATCTCTTCTCTGAATAAACAAGGGATCTGTGAACTGATCCTCTATGAGAAGGGGGCCTTGAAGGCAAAAACTGATTCTTGAGTTGAATACAGGGAGGATAGCCTACCCGAGCAATACTATTTTTTTATGTAGGCTTTGATAACTTTTGATACTCCAGCCTCATTGTTTTTTTTCTTCCACTAATTTGAAAAGCTTTACTTAGGATACAGAACAGGAATTAAAAAAAAAAGTCTGGTGCAAACCATTTGCTGCCCTCTCTCGCATGCGGTTACAAGTCTGATTCCCCCCCCCCCCCGGATCCCCAGGTTGTGACAGCTAGTGGGGGATCTTCTCCTCCCCACTAGCTGTCAGAATTTTAAAAAAAACGTGGCTGTGCGGAGCTCCGACCACTTCACTCATTCACAGTATTCTGTGAATGGGAAAACGACAAGTCCTGGCAGCCTTGGTGGCTGTCAGATTGTAGTTTTCAATGAACTACCATGGCTCTCCACAGCACCATGATGGTTCATTGAACCTTCCTGTCAGTAACTGCTTGCCTTTCCAGGATGTACTATACTGACAGATCAGGGGACACCCGCATGGCACCAGCGATCTGCTTATCACTGGTGCAATGCTTTAGAGGCGCCACAAACAAAAAATAATGCACATTTTGTTTACTTGAAAAAAATGTGCATTTATTATTTTTTTATGAAAAGGTGATCCGTCCCTTTTAAGTGTCTTCTTAACACTCTCTTTAATATTTTTTTGGAAACTAGTTTAGACTGGGAGAAGAGCACAAGTTATACAGGAAGAAGGAATGAGGGAAAGGGGGGCCCAACGGTGATAGGAACTTCAGGCTCTTTAAATTTTGGCTGTAGAGGATTTCCAATAATAGGGCTCAAATTACATATTAACCTATGTACAGTAAAAAAAGTAACCAACATACAATGCCTCTTCATTACCCGTGTTTGGATAACAATTCAGTTTTATTGGGGGTTTTTTTTGTTTGTTTTTTAAGCTTTCATACAGATGGGAAGGCATCAGCATTGTTCAGTACTATCAACATAGTCCATTCCATGGTGCCTAATGTTAGTTTTTATATTTATTTTCAGGTGTCTGCACGGAAATTAAAACCCACACCACCACGTCCTCGAAGTCTGCATGAACGAATACTAGAAGAAATTAAATCTGAGAGAAAACTACGTCCGGTTTCTCCCGATGAAATTAGGCGTAGTCGGCTTGGTAAGAAAGCTGTAGGCAGTTTGGCAGACCTGGCAATCGGTATAACTTGCTGTTAAAAGCATTTTGTCAGAAGTTAGCTTGAAAAATTAGTGAACATTAAAATGCAAATTATGTATGCAGCTGCTTGGAAAGATTCAAGCTGCTGTTCTTTCAGTTTACCATGTCAACAGAATAAAATGATTTCATTGGTTACCTCCATTCACCTAGGCACACATCTTGGTACTGTACTTTTTATAGATGAGCTGCAGAAAGGCAAGTATTAAAAATTCAAGAACATCTCTGATATACAGTAACTACTGACAGGTTTTGGCTACTGGGAGTCAAGTATATGATTATATATATAACTGTTTTTCTAAATGCCTCTTACCAACGTGTTTTTTTTTTTTGTAAGTGGTATTGGCTTTTTCACTATCTTCAGCCTTTATAACATTTGTATCATGCATGGTTATCCATTTTTTTATGCTATGTATATGCATGTATAAAATGTTTTTTTTAATAGGCCAAGGTATAATTGAGTGCGTAAGTATATAATACGGAAGACTTTAATTTCAACACTTAATTTAATGTATTACGCTCAGCAAATGAGAAATTTACTTTTATTATTTAGGACTGCTTTTAAACACCTAAAATATGATTTAAATGTTGCTATAGGTAACTATACATCATTACACTTTGTTCATTAAAATTACTAAATAAAATAACATTTACTTGTTAGATTTAAGAATATTTATTTTCTTCATTTGCGTTTTTCGCTACTAGCATATTGTTAAGATATCAGGATCGTAATGGACACTAATAACTTGGTTAACTTTAGTGCACAATAATATAATTGTATCTGCTTTTCAGGTTTCTTGGTTGCAAATAAAAATTAGATTATTATTGCTGCAGTTCAAATTTTTGGCAATCTTTTGTCCTGGAATCACACCAGGGCTACAATTTTGCATTGTCCCGTTAGTCATTGATTGGCATGGTGACATATACACTCTATTGCCAAAAGTATTGGCACACCCCTCCAAATCATTGGATTCAGGTGTTCCAATCACCTCCTATGGCCACAGGTGTATAAAATCAAGCACCTAGGCAGGCAGACTGCTTCTACAAACATTTGTGGAAGAATGGGTCGCTTTCAGGAGCTCAGTGAATTCAAGTGTGGTACCGTGATAGGTTGCCATCCGGGCAAGAAGTCCATTTGTGAAATTTCCTTGCTACTAAATATTCTACAGCCAACTGTTAGTGGTATTATAACAAAGTGGAAGCAACTGGGAACGACAGCAACTCAGTCTCAAAGTGGTAGGCCACATAAAATGACAGAGCAATCTCAGCGTATGTTGAAGCGCACAGTGCGCAGAGGTCTCCAACTGTCTGCAGAGTCAATAGCTAAAGACCTCCAAACTTTGTGTGGCCTTCAGATTAGCACAAAAACAGTGTGTAGAGAGCTTCATGGAATGGGTTTCCATGGCCGAGCAGCTGCATCCAAGCCTTACATCACCCACCAAGTGCAATGCAAAGCGTCAAATGCAGTGGTGTAAAGCAAGCCGCCACTAGACTCTAGAGCAGTGGAGACGTGTTCTCTGGAGTAAAGAATCGTGGTTCTCTGTCTGGCAATCCGATGGACGTGTCTGAGTTTGGAGGTTGCCAGGAGAACGGTACTTGCCTGACTGCCATGTGTAAAGTTTGGTGTAGGGGGGATTATGGTGTGGGGTTGTTTTTCAGGGGTTGGGCTTGGCCCCTTGGTTCCAGTGAAGGGAACTCTTAAGGCGTCAGCATACCAAGACATTTTGGACAATTTCATGCTCCCAACTTTGTGGGAACAGTGTGGGGATGGCCCCTTCCTGTTCCCACATGACTGCACATCAGTGCACAAAGCAAAGACCATAAAGATATGGATGAGCGAGTTTGGGGTGGAGGAACTTGACTGGTCTGCACAGAGTCTTAACCTCAACCCTATAGAACACCTTTGGGATGAATTAGAGTGGAGACTGCAAGCCAGGCCTTCACGTCCAACATCAGTGCCTGACCTCATAACTGCGCTTCTGGAAGAATGGTCAAACATTCCCATAGACGCGCTCCTAAACCTTGTGGACAGACTTCCCTGAATAGTTGAAGCTGTTATAGCTGCAAAAGGTGGGCCAACTCAATATTGAACCCTACAGACTGGGATACCATTAAAGTTCATGTGCGTGTATAGGCAGGCGTCCCAATACTTTTGGCAATATAGTGTATCTCGGAATTGTAGTAATTGTTATCCATATTGTAATGAATAAGGAAATCAGAAGAATAGAAGTGTACGATTTGACTGTTAGCAAAATCTCCTTTTTGGGATGGCCCTTATGGAGGCCTCAGATTAACTACAGAGATGTGATCCAGTGAATAGTCAAACCCTTAATTTCAAGCTCAATTTATCTTTTTTTTTCATAGCTACATTACATCAAACTTGGACCAGTGTATGTCTACATATTCCATACCTTTGCAAAATCTGTGGAAGCGGAGAATCACTGTACTAGTCATCACCACTACAGTGATCCTTGCTGTCTTTTGGGTCTTACGCCAAGCAGCTGCCCTGCTCCATAGTAACTACAGGTTGCTTGCTTGGCCAGGCGGCATTCAGAGAATACCTTGTATTTTTCTCATTGAATGCAAAGCTTTCTCTGATTGAACAAGGCCGAGAGGTGGTCCAGTCAGAACACTTCTTGTTCTTTAAGAAAATAAGTGTTCTCTGAATGGTGACTGTGCCAAGTTGGGGAGCCCCTGTAGTTTCCTTTACTGCATGAGACCTGGAAGACAGCAAAGATCACTGTAGTAGTGGTAGCTACTACAATGATTCTCTGCTTCCACAGGGATCAGTCTGGAATAGGTTTAAGACCAATGTAAACATGCAGAAGAATTCAGATTTAAATTGGCTAAATACATTCTATGTGCAACAGAGTTCAATGTTTTTTGTTTTCTATATTCAAAACAGCTACAGCTCGAGTAGCAAAGTCCTTCCCCTGCTGTCATGCTGTAGAGTATGACCCTGGTCCCTGTGTTAAAGCAGAGGTCAGACATGGAACCTACTGAGTCAGATTTATAGGTCATGCTTCCTTTTTTTGGAGGACTCTAGGTGTGCCTCAGCAGTAGGTGTTTCAGACCTCTGCTGAAAAACCACTGCTTCCCTACATAGAGGAAGTGTCCTACTATGCAGCATTCTGGCAGGGAATATCCTTTTCTATTCAATTTGTGTTTGCTTTCTACAGAAAACCTACTTTAAGACTTGTAACATATTTTGTTTATAAAGCACCTGAAATTTAGTTAAATTAAAATGAAAGCTCATCAGGCTTTAAATGTCTCGGAAGTAATACGTTACATATTAGTGGGAGAAAGCTGCTTCCACTGAGCCGTTTAACAAAGGTTTTTTTCTTGATGACCTACACAATATGCACTGTTAAAGAAAGAGATCCCTGATCACAAATGCTTACATTTCAGATGTGTTCCAGCAGCCTCTACATTTTCCACACGACAGATTATTGCCAAAACAACAAAATTACTGTAAACGGCAAAGGACTGAGAAAACATTAGGAGTTATTGAACAGCTTTTAAGCATGAAGAGACATAGTCAGGGGAATTCAAATGGCTCAAACGCCAATTTTTTGGCAGTTATCTTAAAGTAGTAGTGTGGTCTAAACCTATCTAAGCTTAAACTTCCTGCCACCCCCATAGATTTTCTGTGAGGGGGTGTTGTCTGCTCTCCTTCCTCTCCCCTGAATCCAGCACCAGGAGCAAATCTCGTGACCAGACCGCTCTATTGACCGGACTGCTACTTTAACAATGTGTCTAATTCAGGCAAGCATTTGCGCCAGTGTCAGTAACATTACTGACGTGTGCACCAAATTCAGGTAGTTCTTACTACCTGAATCTATTGCTGTTGCAGCATCAAATGCTGGAGAACTGGCGGTAATGAAGACCAACTCTTAACTGGTGTGCAGAGTTACACCAGTACTCAGAGTGCGCCATGCATGTGCTAGGAAGCTGTCATGTCTGTTGCAGTTTCCTGCACAGCTCTGTATTCCCAGCCCCACTTAGCTGTCAGCCACAAGATTCTGTGGCCGAAAGCTAATAGAAAAAGGGACAGAGATACAGGTAATGTCAATGACCATGTTTGGTAACTGACATGTCAACAGGTGGGCAGGCCTGGCACTTGTTCCCCATCAGGTTTGGCCAAATTATGATTGACAGTGCATAGCATTGGGCAGATTTGAAAGCTGCTATTAGACTGAATAGTGGCTATGGATCGTCCCACTGCTGTGCGCTGTCAGTCAAAACTGGAGTATATCTATCTAGTGGAGAACTAGTCTCTTGGTTCCTCATCAGACTCTGCCCACCCCTAGTAGAAAACTCCCCAGCCAAATGCCTGTCAGCTTGATGTGCATGGTGGCCACGGAGGGAGGGTGGAACTGCAATGGGGAAGGAATGTGCAATATGGACACTCCTTTCTTAGTTTAAACACTTACAAATTCATATATCTGTCTGTGACAGGTACATGAATTAGAAGCAAGCACTGACACTTTCTGTGCCACACCTTGGTGAAATTCTAAAAGGTGTCCAAGACACACTTTTTTTAAATTCCCCTGAATATATGCAAATTGCCATAACAGGTCAGCACACCAGACTGATCATGAAGTCCGTTTTATTTATGCATTTGGGTTCAAAAATACACAACACTGACACATTTCAACCGCAAAGCTCTTGGCTTATAAATAAGAATTGCAATGTTATAAATGGGCCTAACCCCCCCTTTTTTTTTTTTTTCTTTTTGTTTTTTTTGATGGGAGGTAGGCAGGTGTACACAGACACAAGTCTGTTTACACCCAGCAGTCCATATGAATGGACAGTACAGTGAGGTCCGCCTGAAAAGCTGAGAGGTGGACCTAATCGGACCTTTCGTGTGAGAGGGACCTAAATTATTCGTATTTTAGTTTATAACTTGTGTAGCTTTTGCTTTCCATTTGCTAAGTTGCCTTATA